TGTTTGCTGACGAAGCCATTGAGAACTAGGCCTCATCTGAGCAGATGATTTTTCGATGAAAACTCTCCACCAGAGAACGTGATTTTGCGTAGGCGTAGGCGAATCGTGATCATTTTGAACATGAATCCTTATGTTTACAGATCAATGTTAACTTATTTATTTTTAGTAGTTTTCGATCTATAATATAATTAAAAAACGAGTTCATTTAGAGAGACCATATCACTCCATACGAATGGCAAAGTTGCTAAGGCCACACAATATGCATCATATATATAATACTTAGAAATGTAACGATGGAGAACTTAAGGACTGTATAAATATTATATAATGTTAAGTAGGCAAACGATTGACAAAGGAAGGGGAACCACTGGTTTGAGTGGAAAGAGTATTCGTTGTTGATGTTCTTTCAAAATAAACAATTTGAAAGTGTTATAAAGGAAAATAAATTGAGATTTGATTTGACAGAAACATACATTGGTTCATGACGTCATGAACGAACTAGGGGAAATTGAAAGTGCTATGAAAATTTGACAATTATTACATAGAATGTCTCGATCTTGTGCACTGTGGTAGTACGAATGAATACTACTTCGAATCGGCACAGCTCTCAACCACCTAAACTCACCTTTTTCGTATGGTTTTTGGATGGCAAATTTCATCTTATATACAACCACCGAATAAACATGGCAGCTCAAAGGTAAACCAAATGAAAATGTCAAATGGCCAAATATATTGCTTCTAAATATTTTCTTCGGTTCATGGACTTGACCGAGCTCGCTGCCGTGTCGGTGGTATAAACGAAAACATGCTGACAGCTTGTAAGCCAACAAGCGCAGTTGGAAATCCGCAAGAAATTGCTTGTAGTAGCCGGTAGTTCACCACATTGACGAATTTGATCAAAGTGGAACTTGGACATTCAAAGAAATTCGACACATACGCACATACATACGAATACAGCCAGCGATAGCACGTCGACACAGGCACAAATTGGCCATGACAACAACAATGGAGCAGGGGCAAAAATGTCATGCCGTTAGTTGGGTCGAAACAACACAGCAGGATGCACCATAATATTTTGGTTTATGACTTCTGTGTGACGCTACACACCACATTGGATATGAGATATGACTTGGCAACGCAGAGAGTCCAGAGATGTAGAGACGGAGAGAGAGAGAGTGATCGCTAGCTAGTAGAGAAGCAAATCGGAAGCACAAACTCATGCCGAACGTCCAATTGATCGGTCGTAACAGTAAATGAAACGAATTGGAGTATAAAAACTAGCCGAGGAGTGCATGGAGAATTGCGCACCGAAGAGAAATGTATTTACCTACGCGCTGAGAGCGCAGAGCAAATATAAACGTGTTGTTGGCAAGTAATTTGGCACGCACCTTAGGGGGGAGGCGAACGAGCGAGGGATCATTGAAATGTTGGAAGTTGTCTAGCGTTGGTGGTTTTGGTGGCAGCGGCGGCGACTACACGAGCAGCAGGACATGCCGCTGAATTTTTTGTGGTCAAAAGAAAAAAAATATTATGTTTTCTAGATGTGAAGTATATTTTTTGCAACAATTGATTTTTTGACATGCTGCATTTACAACACATACACACGCATGCGAACTAGTGCGTGTTTAGGTAGCCCGTCAGCTATTTGAATCGTGTTTGTGTAAATTAAGTCGTTACGGTCAGCCTTGCCACAACTCGGCTCAACATGCCATTTGAGAGTGTACATACATATGTATATGTATGTATATATATGCGTATGTGTGTATGTGGCCGTCGCTGTTGGTAGGCGGTTAGGCGTTACAGCTGGAGCAATCTTATTTGGAACGTTGTAGGTGTTGTATTTGTCAACATTTGTACGCTGCACGTTCGTTTCGCAGGCGCAGGCGTTGAAGTGCAAATAAATGTAGCGTCGCATCACATCGCAGTTAAGCAAAGTGCAATGTTTCGGTGCGTGTTGGAAGCAACACAAAATTGAGTTACAATTTGCCAGCAGTGTATGTTTGCTGACCAAGCAGCGGTGAAGCGGTAACCAACCGGCAGTTGGCCGCCAGTGGTGCCACCTTTCTACAGCGACCGCAAATGTTTTCAACTCATGTCTAATGCGCCGCTGGAGCCTTGTATGCGCCATACTCATGCGTTTTTCGATATTACCCTCTATATGTATGTATGTGTTTATATGTATTTCCTTTTGGACACTGATGGTTCGTTGGCCAGCGTCGATGAATAGGAATAAACACACATAAAAAGGCATGAGCATGTGCTAATTTCGAGAATGTGACGAGTAAATTGAAAGTAACCAATGTGTTGCATGATTGCGGGGATAATAGCGTCGAATTCAATTGTTTATTGGTCGTTATTCTCTAGCATGACAATCAAAGTTGTGCCTATAAACGATGCTGATGTATAACTGTGGTGCGGCATACGCGATGGGTGTTCAATAACTTTTAGAGATGCGGCTACTTATGTTTGATATTATTTATTTCTGTATAGGATTGTTTGCGGGTGTAACTGATCGAGTAGAACGCTTGACTACAACATGGAGTCCCAGGTCACAAGTCTATTGGGTTCAGATAAACTTCTGAAATCTGAAGGAATGCAGAAATCATCAGTTTTCAACTTTTAGGTTAGAAAGAAACTCATAGTTTTATTTCGAAATAAATTTATTCAAAAACTTATTAAACCAATATGCTATTAAAAATCTGCGTATAGACGCTGCTTAGGCTTGCCAGCAACTGTACAGTATACCATATGTCTTGCAGTTAAATTGGGTTCTGATGGTGCGACGCTATGGCCAGAGCTTAGAAACCGGCACATGAAAGTACGGGTAACTAACCCAAAATAGTTAGATTAGATAGCTGATGACTCAAGTTGGCGGAGCGACTCACACTTGAGACTACTAAATACAGTCCTTTGTGAAATCTGATAACAACTCTTATAGTTGAATATTAATTCTCGACAAAGCGTCTTGAACCTTTCACAAATCTGCTTGGGAACTTGAATTCTACTTCCGCTATTTCACCTTAATGTTTGAAAGTCTGGCAGTTCTGGTTTTGAACTGATTCCTTCTCATTATCTTCCAAGGATTTTCAGTCTTATCGCATGAATCCCGTTGGGACAGTGTCCAGTTAAAACTCTTATAACTGTTGGTAGGTGACCTTTACTGAGAGCGATTGGCACACTGGACCTTTTACGATTTACCCTGCGCCAGAAGGATGTTGGGATGGCACAGTTGCTTGTATGTGGTCATCGCTTGCTGAGCTTACCGGATGCCCAACCACCCAGTAGTGAACCGCAAAAAGTCAGCGGAGATCCTACACGTTCCCATTCTACAGCTATTGAGACTGAAGTATTTGATCTAGCAAATTCATCAGACTTGCAGTTTCCTGCAATTCCGCTGTGGCCAGGCATCCCATTTAGTCTAATCATGCAGTAACTTGATGCCTTCCACTTCCGCTTGGAAAGGGCTGCAATGATCAGGAAACCTGAATATGGAATTTATAAATTTATAGATAGGAACATTTCAGTTCTCTAGCGAAAGATTCTATCATGAAATAATCGATAACTACTTAAAACGGGCTACAAACAACTGTTTCCAGATTAAAAGATCTAACTTAAATTTTAAAGCATTATGATAGACGAAACACAGGATTTTGGATATAAATTTTAAGATTCGACAACAACTTACCTCAAATCCGCTCTAAAATACAGCTTTTCCATCTTTAATCTTCGGAAAAATTGTATGGAGAAGGATACCTTACGATCTTACGTCTTTATATAAAAAAGAAAGAAATGTGCTATTTTAGCATATAAGATATTCAATCACCTCCACACAATAAAAGGTTTTATTTAGCATAGATTTAGGTCAAATACTGGATCTGGACTATAAATGGGATGCATAAGAACCTCCCTAACAAGCTCCCGGAGCTTCTGACGATTGACTACCGAATTGTATAGCCTGGCGTTGTTGTGATGGAACTCAATGACAGTACAGATCCAGTTTAGAGTTTGGTCGTAGGATAACAGCTCATGGTAGATGATTCTCCGCCAATTCTACCAAACATTTCTGACCGTCAATTCTGGCTTATTCACCGCTTCAGAAATGGATCTATTTTGTTACGATACATCGAGCTTCTTTTTGTATCCAGACGCCTTATATAAATTATTTCCAATTGTTTTTTAGGCAATGCTTCAGTTCCTTTTGCTTCTGTGTAGTCGACACCATGCTTACATTTCAGTCGGACTCTTTCCATTATTCTATCGATAGTTTTGAGAATCGGTCTTCTAGACCGTGGTGCATCTTTGAAATCAAAATTACCGGAACTGAAACAACGAAACCGAAATTACTTTGGCTTTACAATAGTAGTTTGGCTTGCCGTTCCGCCTTTATCGGAGAAAAATTGTAAAATATAGTCATTTTCTCTTTACTGGTGTCCATCTTTAACGAGTGCTCAAACAATACTCAGTCAAGCAATCACCAACTAAAGCTTTTAGTGCAAAATTTAATCTTTCTAACGCCACACAGTGTAACCCGATCACACTTATATAACGCGAGTTATAAATTACTAAAATCGTCTATTAGAAAAATAATGAATTTTGTTTTAACAGACCTTTTATATCATACCTGCAATATAAGCATCGTTCATACCGTTTAATTCTTGTTCAAATATAAATCCGAATTTCTTTATGTCCCATGCGGATTGAGTTGCGAAAACAAACATTCCTATATATGGAATATCTACGTATGTATACGAGACCCACCCCATATGGCTGCACCCTTGTGCTTATACTTAAATAAAATGTCTTTATCATTTAATTACTCTCTCCCAAAACTGCCATTATTTAAACTCTAATTCCAAGCAATAAGAATCTTGTAATAATTGTTATTACAATTTAAAAAAGTATTCATCTCATTTATGACGTCATCGATAAGCAATTCTGTAATACTTGGGCTTGAATTACATTGTAAAAAATTACTATAAAAAAAAATCATTCTAGACTGATTGTTAGAGAATAAGTTTTTTTTATTTTCAACAGCGAAAACATGTAATATAAGAAATCAAAGCTATTATACGTAAATACAAACACATACATTTATATGTGTGTAATATTTGCATAACTGTCGAGTACAAAAACGTTGATCGAATCGTGGAATTTGGAATTTAGACAACAGTGTACAATACATACATATATCTTAAGGAAAAAAGTAGTTTTTCTACTATAATTCTTAACCTAAGAAAAATATAATCCAAATTTATGCTGGTGTTAACTTTGCTGTCGGCTCCAACAACGCCCATAAACCAGCTGCAGAGGAAATAGCACCTAACAATCCAATTGTACGCGGCGACAGTCTAGTATAACCTAGTGCAGTTAATGGTATAAATAAGTCACATAAATTTTTCACTGTATCTACAGCCACATCTTTGTGGCCCAAAACCAATGCATAGGAATGTAGAGCTAATCTGTTAAAATCGCGCAATGAATTGACGTGCAAAGGCGATATTTTAGGGCTCGCACGGGTTATACCGCTTTTTGTGCCAGCCTTATGTAAGTCGATCAATTGAAATATTTCATAAACATCTCGGCATAAATTCATTATAATCGATAGCAACCAGTATTTATTAGCAAATTTTCCCCAACGGTTTGTATTTATGCCCTTGAAGAGTCCAGTACGCGCCAACCACATGAAATGGTCGGCCAGTAGGAAGAGAGATTGTGAGAGCTTGCTCAATGTCAGTGTCACGCGTATCGTAAGATCGGGGTAATGTATAGTGCGTAAGGAAGAGTAAAATATATCCACACAGCGACCGAAGCGCAGAACTACATAGTAAGTAGAAAAAATTAAGTTAGACAATAATTTTAAGTTTAAATCACACGACTTACGTTTTCGGAATGTGCTTAATATATACTCCACAGTTTTGAAGCTATCCGCTAGTGCTGGACTGGCATCAACACTCTCCAGTGAATCCCATAAAGCACGCGAGGCATATTGCACAAGTCTATGAATAATTAAACATCAAAAATTGTACAATAAAGCTGCAATCACTTTAAAAACTTACCTAGCAATTTTATCACGGCCTGCCGTCTGATTATTTAGCAACACCAAATTATCTAAGCTCATGATTTCTTCGTTTTTACGTTTGATTTCGTGTTCTGCTTGCAATTGAGAATCTTATACGCACTGTGTTTTAGTTTATTGGGCAGTTCAAGGTTCAACAGGATAAATAAACAATTTCACTCCCAATTAAAGAGCGACTTATTTGTTTAGCTAATATGCTACCTGTTTTATTTTTGTTGCCTTGACAGTTGCGGCTGTCAAATGCCGGTGTGTTGAAAATGCGCTACAGCTGTTGCCGTGGTGAGTGATTGTTTGAAAGGAATTTACAGAAAGTTTAATCAATATAATAAAAGTGCTTGCATAATGGAGTTCGCAGAAAAATAACAAAACGATTTTACCACTTTTAGAAGTTAGAGTATTTTGAATAAAAAATATTTAAATTTATACAAAAATGATGTAGAGCGCCATCTGTTTGCCATATTTTTGTGCCGCTCATTAAATGGCGTAGTTAAATACAAATTTGCTTGGTGAAAAATCTTGTATGCCGTTGGGAAGATATGTTCCGTGTAGTTTATGAATTAGAACAATTTCTTTATAGCAGAAAATATAGTTTGAAAATATATTCGAAATTCAATGATAATGTTCCGTTCCTGAAATATTTTCGTTATATATTAACCAGTAAGTTTTACAAAGTAATAAGAGCAGTCTACTATAGCGCTTTGCCGAAATAACTGTAAACTGACGTAATTTGACAACTCGATATCGATAATTTCATTGCTGTCAATATTACTAATGTAGACTATCTGTTCTCTTAATCATTATCCTGATTATGATGATGAAATACCTTGAGGGCACTATTTGTCCAAAGTTTTATTCTTATAACTTCTTGGATGTTGGATTTGTATACTTAAAATTTGTTATATGGGAAGTAGAGTGGTTGTCATCCGATTTCGTTCATTCTCACAGTGTGTAATGTTTGGGTAGTCTCACACGCCAAATTCGGTTGAAAGCGGGTGAGTCATTCCCTACCGTCTCCGTTGTAAAATTTAATACTTGTACCGCATTTATTCAGTGAGTTATCGCACTTTTAGTTGTTTTCAACATAACCGTTATATGGGGAGTGGAAGTGGTTATCTGATTTTAACCAATTTCATAGTCAACTTTTGTCGGCGGTAGGAATTTGATTCCGATTCTCATGTAAACTCATTAAATGCACCTGGCTGAAAGTATTTCTTGGTTTTCTCATTTTAGTACAGACTCTAAATTCACCAAGTAAAGCATTACCCTCTTCTTTTTATTAAAAAGCAGAGTGAGAATCATAATTTTAGTAATATAAGGACTAAAGGATAGTATGGACTAATATGTAAATAAATGAGATGGATGAATCAAAAGCGTTTGTTAGGGGAATATATGTGTCTCCCAAACTATTCAAGCTATATCACCCAAATTTGCACAGGATAAGCAATTTTGACACGTCTTGTGACAGCATGAAAATAGGTAAAATCGGATGATAACCACGCCCACTCCCTATATAACGGTTTTGTTAAAAACTACTAAAGGTACGAGATATAAATAACTAAATGCCAGATACCGGAAATGTGGAGCCCAGAGCCTATGGCTGACGTTTTGCCGAAAATACGGCCAATCTGTGAGATATGTAATTGAAATTCGGAGAAAGTGTTTTTTTATAATTTAATATAAGTGTTTTTTTATATATTAATATACCCTTGTGTCAAAAATGGGTTGGATCGGATCAATACTTCCCTTAGCCCCCATATACCTAACATAAAAATTTTCCAAAAAAGCCAATGTGCTAGTTATTTTAATGAAATGTATCTTTGCAATCAACTCGTCCATTTCTATGCCTCCAATGATTTTAGTATAATTTTCGCTGACGGGAGGTAAATATAGCAATAAAACTAAGTGAATCTATTAACTTCAAAATAAGTTAATATGATACCAAATTGTATTGTAGTTCATTCAGCATTTCGTCGAATAATGAAGTTGCACCTTTTTGCTACATTTTCTAATATAAAATTTTGCCAAAACCTGAAGGTATTTCCCCGGCTTTGATCCTTACGAGTTGCAAGAGTATGCAATTTTCGGTTACACCCAAACTTAGTTAGTTTTGTCGTTTTTTGTGTATTGTGTTGGTCACTATTTGCAGTTAATCGAAATAAAAACGTATATATTAGTTCGTGACGTCATTAATTAAAGAAGATTATGCTCTGTTTACAATTACCATGAAAATTTGACAGTTAGTTTCGTATATGACAGTTACTATGAGCTCGCCTCGTTTATGACTTGTGTGTGGCTATCTTGTACTCGAACAAACATGGACAGGTTTGTCTGGCAATTTTTACCTTTGGAAAAAACTTGATTTCCGATGAAATCACGGGTATGAAAGAGTTCAAAGGTGGTTCCCGAAACCAAGTATTTGAGTGGCACAAAGCATTCAGTGAAGGTCGTGAAGTCATCGAAAACTTTCCTTATGCGAGATGGAGGATCCACCTCTTTTAATGACGATAAAATCGAAAAGTTGAAGAAACAGTGTTTGAAAATCGTCTCTCATCAGAGAGATAGCAGAGGATCTCAACATATCTTATGAATCGACTCCACACATAATACCTTCCTAGTATACTGTTAAACATTTCCTTTGGAGCTTGATTGCCACCTAAAACTTATTTCACCACAAATTTCTTTTCCATTAATACACTGCACCTACGATCCATTCATATAACTGCATCAATTGGCACTTTTTTCTCATCTGACCACAAAGCTCTTAATTTACCGTGGTGGCGCTGATGCATCACAAATCAAATGAAATAAAATCGAATTGCCTTTCGATTGCTTATCAGCTTTTTTTAAAACGTCTCGATTGCATTTAATTTTTTTCACTTGCCTGAGCGCTTCGTAAAATACATACATACATATGTACATATATAAAACCACAAAGCACTGCCAATTCGAGTGTAATCGTAAAGCTTTTACTGCAAATTATTTTAGCTACCACGAAGTAACCTAACCATATTTACACCTGCAGCACGCAGCCAATCCGTTCGCTAAAGGATTGCCCCACTCGGTATCGACGAGAATTGTCGTGACCTACTCCTCACTCATGCAACCATACAATGGTGGACGCATTCGGTTTGATGCTGGCGATGATGGCTTCAATGCTAAAAGCTATTCTGACAAAACGGAGACAACAAAAAGTGTCGCTAATCAAATTAACTCTTTGTGAAGTGCTGTGAGCGACCCGAGCACTTTGTGGATTATAAAAAGCGAAGGTCAGTCGATGTTGGACAAAATTGTGCGCGTTGCGGCAACATCAGCAATCTGTGTGTGTGTGTGTGTGTGTAAAAACTTCCAAGGCGCTACTAGTGCCGCGAGCTATAATAATTTTGGCCAACCTAACCGAAATACTGTTACACGAAATTCCGCAGCAGCAACAACAACACCGCAGGTTGCAGCAATAGGAGGGTGGTGTTCTGCTGGTTCTTCGGAAATACTTTGATGTATTGTCACCTTTTGACTTGGCTATTTAACACTTTCATCAGCAAATGTTGCACAAAAGCGTCTTCGGTTCGCCTGAAAATAATAAGGAAATGAGATTTTTGTGCGCCGAGTAACAAGTTTAAATATTGTATGCATGTAAATAAGTATGCATGTTTGTTGATCTACAATTAAAGTATCAACAATATCGACAATTTTCACAAAGTAAACTGAATTAGGCACACACAAGAAATGTAATGCTTTATATTTTGAACTTTTTGAACTTATTCACCTGAAATCTATTTATGATATTCATATACCGTAATCAATTATATGTTATCTGTTATATAAGAATTACGAGGGCATTCCGACTGTGAAAGCTATTGTTACAAAAGGAGATTTTAATGGTGTACTATATTCTCGTAGGCGGCTGCTGTCCGATTTTTATTTTTGGAAGAGAAATCGAGCGTCAAAAATTGGCTTAACGAGTTTCAACGTTGAGAACGGTCCAAGTTTTGATAGATCACGATTAAAAGTCCGCCAGATAGCTGACATAGTAGGCAACTCAAATTACTGGCGGCGATATATTTAGTATGGAATATTGGTCACTAGAAAACTATAGATTAGATTAGTTTTGGTAAGGTATAGATTCTGGAGTTTGCATTGTTTCTACGTCGTTTTGTGACCGTCAAGGAAACATGGTTCCACTAGTACAAACCAGAAACTGAGGAATAACCGAAACTGTGAACTATGCTCGGCGAACCTGCTCCGCAGACTGTTCGATCGGACAGAAAGGTAAAAATGCCAGTTTTCTATGTTTTCCAAGGTGGGATTTAGATCAATACTTGGTGAAGGGTAAAACGGTCACAGGGGCTCGATTTATTGGGCCGTTTCGACGCCGCAGTGCAGAAATAGCAGGACTATTTGGCGAAGAAAAAACCGTCGCCAAGAGGGCCTACTTTGCAGACTTTCAAAAAACATTTTTTACAGACGGATTAAGGATGTTGGACGCTAGGTACTTGTCGAATCATCCTTGAAATAAAGAAATATTAGGAGGGCGCATTGATAAGTCTATGTTAGTCAAATACAATTGTTGACATCTTTTATCTGTTAAAACAACAAATGTCACGAAATTTCGACTTTCAAGAAAAACAATGAAAGCTTTATGTAAGAAAAAAGTAAAGACGACAAAAATCGACAATAAAATGCACAGATCGCCAAACAATGAGAAACCACAAATAGTATCGGGTTTTCCAATAAGGATGATATGATTTCTAAGTATCGTTTCTGTATAAAATGGTTTTCACTCAAGAACTGAAGCTATAGGAGCACCGTAAACGTCGTGAATTTTCTGATTTTGCCGTGGAACAACATAAAAACGATAACAATTTTTTTAACTGAGTGGTGCGGCAAATGAACTAAACTTTGTATTCTGGTGCAAAGACAATCCGCAAATTATTCATGATCAATCATTACATTCACCTAATTCGTTCCAGCAAAAGAAATCGTGGAGGCCATTTCAATGATGTTATATTCAGAACTTAATTGTATCGATTGTACTTCACATTAAATAAAAATCATTTGGATTTCCTTAACAATTAGTGTGTTTTTTTTAATCATATCACTTATTGAAAAACCCTTTATGTAGTCTACAATTAACATGCGACACAAGCGGGCAATAAATTTTCGGTATCCAGGCAGTATTATCCGTAACGACTTTTCTGCAAGAACAAAATACCGAATGATAAATGTTATTCGTATGGTCGATAGCAAATGCCGTTTTCTTTGCTAAAAGATTTGATCTGAATTTTTGTTTTGGGAAGCCGCCTTGTGCCGAAAAATAAAAATTTTTACTAGTCCTTCGATCATTAATTGTATTCATCTATAGTAATTATATATACCATATATTTTTTGGTTTTGGGTTTGAGCTAATTTTAAGCAGAAACATTTCCTCACCGCCAGACACCTTGTTTTGAAGGTCCTCCTAAAGATCGGCTGCGGGATCAAGGTAATCCAAAAATTTTCAAAATGAATCCCCGATGATTCAAGTACATTCTATTTTGTAAATATACATTTTCTATTTTTTTATTAAATAAAATGCTTCTTCAAAAGAAATTTACAATATAACGCGTTTTTACTGATTTACAGGTGGATAAAACCCCTTAAAAGGGTTCAAAAGGAGGGAGCCCTAATTTAATATTATATTTCAAAATTAAATAGTAAGCACTCACAAATTCTAATTATATCACAAAAGTTTACTTAATATAATATGTTATTTTTAAAAATTTTAAGGAACAAGCAACTAAGGCTATTTTTTCATACAGTCTTGTGAAATATGTGAGCAGATGTAATTTTTGGCCCAATTTAACAAAGTTCTCATACGCACATATATTTGCTTACAGCTTTGTATGTACATATTTTTATACATGAGCAGCATTTAAACATCTACACAACTCACTAGGCTGCGCACCAACAAAAACAACAATATCATGTGATGACATTAAAACACTTATGGTGTGTTATTCAATTCAAGGAAACATATTTGCATTCAAAAGAATTCCACACTTTACACTTACGACACTTAAGCACATTAATTTCCATAAAGGGGTAATTTCAAATTGATAATGTGTTATTATTATGAGCCGCATTTAACTTTGACACCTGAGTAGCTGCCTCCATGGCAATGCACACATGTGCAAACACTCATATATTTGCATGTACGAGCATATATATATGTGTGTGTGTGTATGTGGTAATGATATTGAAGTGAGATATATTTGGAACTAACGGTCACCGGTGACTCGTAATGGACGTGATAAGAAGCGCATAAAATCAAAGAAACTGAATACGCCAACTGGTGTTCACACACACCCACGCACACTCCAGCAGAAGTGCTCGTAGTTAGTGAAATTTATTCACACACATAACAATGCACACACGAGTACAATGAAATATGTGTTGGATATAACAAATAAAGTTTTGCGTAATGAATTATTGTTCGTGAGAAGTGTTGCACGGCGTTCTGAATTGAGATTCTACTGGTTATGGAAGTTTTGTATAGAAACGCTTCCAAATACATCAGGGTTTTCAGAAACATTTTTACCTGACGAGATGACGATGATGAGTCACAAAAACACAGATAAGATAAGTGACAATCTGAGATTCGAGGCTCTCTAAATTACAAAAAAAAAAAAAAAACAAGAAAAACGTTAATCGAAGCTATTATACCCTTCACAAATACAAAACATTTCATGTAAAAAAAAACTTGATTTTAGATCGGTCAGTTTGTATGGCAGCTATATGCTTTAGTGGTCCGACATTAGCGGTTTCAACAATTAAGCAGCTTATTGTAGAGAAAGGGATGTGTGAAAATTTTCAGATCGATATCTCAAAATCTGAGGCTCTAACTGTGTATAGTTACAGACTTCGTGGCAAATTTAATATACAAGGTTCAATTCAAAAGTTCCAGGACTTTTTAAACAACGCGGCTTCTAGTAGCGCCATCTGTCTGAAATTGTTATCCCTCAATTGTGTATTCTTCAGTGTTGTCGTATAAAATTTATATAACAGCTGACTTGTATAACAGCTGAGATATCGCGCTACATGTGACATTACATTTGTAGTGTCGGTCGGAAAATGAGCATCGAACAAAGAGCCAACGCTAAGTTTTGTTTTAAACTTGGTAAAACTTTTACCAAAACTCATCAAATGATGAAACAAGTTTATGGCGATGATTTTCTATCCCGTAGCCGTATTCACGAGTGGTTTAAATGTTTTCAAGAGGGACGGGAGGACTTGGAAGACGACAAACGTTCGGGCCGGCCAAAAAATGTTGTAAACGAAAAAAACACGGAAATTGTGCGTGAATTCATTAAAAAAGAGACGAAATCATCGCTTAAATATATGGAATCGGAATTATCAATATCCGCAGCGTCGATTTATCGTATTTTGACAGAAAATTTGGGCCTCAGAAAGGTTTGTGCTCGATTTGTCCCGCACACTTTGAAACAACACGAAAAAGACCTCAGAATCAGACAGATTTTTTGACCAAAAATCGCATTCATATCATCAACCATTCACCCTATTCGCCTGATATGGCACCCTGCGATTTTTATTTGTTCGGAAAACTACATTTGGCCATGAAAGGAAACCGCTATGCTGACGTTGATGCCATCCAAAAGGCGACGACCGCCATTCTCAACGCTATACCGAAAAATGACGTAAAAAAGTCATTCGATAACCTTCTTGAACGTGCAAAACGTTGTATTCAGGCGGAAGGAGACTATTTTGAAGGCGACCAATAAATTTTTCAAAAAAAAACAAATAATATTCGTTTTTTAATAAAAGTCCTGAAACTTTTGAATTGAACCTTCTCTATACGCTGTTCAGGGTATAAATAAAAATGTGTAGATTTGATTATTGTTTTCCTCATGTAATGTCCACAAAGTTAGGAGTTTAACCGAGAAATTAACCTAAGTTTACATGTCAACCTTACCTTTTTGTCTGCAATAAGTTTGACTTCGAAATTTAACTTTAATTATATACAGTTGAACAGTAATATAATTAACAGTTAAAAGTTGTACTTTTTGTAAAATATTATATTTTCTTGGACACCTTAAAAAAGTAAAAATACTAACTTTTTGATTAGATTCATATTCTCTGCATACATGGACTCCACTAGATCATAGAATAAACTAATATATAGACATAATATTATATTTAAATCATACGAGAGAAGTTAAGTGCCAAAAGGATATTTCCATATATTTCTACTAAGTCGAAAGTCCAAAACTGGTATTAGGGTACTGTCAAATAATAATAAACCACAGTTGGCTTTAGGTAACCGAAATGGATTTGTATCTACTGCCGAACAAGAACTATAGCTTTAGCAGCAGTTTCTATAACTATTCGGGTAAAGTCGTACAAGGTTATTTGCTTCGGGTATTTTGAAGCGGCTGATCGGAAAATTGGGTCCCATGGTCATAATCTCTGCGCGGAATCTCGTTTTACCATTAAAATTTGGACCTTCAAACTTATTTCTGATATAAAAAAGCTTCTAAAAGTAATTCAACAACCTTTTAAATACGCGTGATTACTTGTGGAACCTTTAATTTGTATAAAAATTCATACGTGTAGATATAAGTAGAAAAAAAGATTGAGCTTTGAGCCCATGTTTTCCACTTCACCCGCAAACATATGCCTAATTATTTTCACGACAAACTACCCTACTCGAGTAATGGTAATGTATCTTCAAAGTCGCACACTTAATCGTGTCGCCACACAACAATTGGGAGTTTATGAAAATGCGACGATAAAAACGAAATCCTATGAGCTTCGACACCCATCGACACACGCACACCCGAATAACTAAATGACAAACTAATCAGCGACGGTATCTGTCACAAAAAAGTCAACGCCACTGGGATATTTCACTACTCCGCACGCCATGGCGTAGCCTTTTATTGTTTGTAAGGCGAAAGTGTCGTGGTGTCGGGCCAAACAAAGTAGAGACAGATAAATTGTCGAAATTGTTCGGGCACCCTTCCATCAAAAGTTCGGTAGTCGCCCACTCGGCAGAAGCGCAACACTTTAGCCAGCCAACAGGTGTGACCCACCTGTGCGGGTATGTGGAAAGGTTCACAGGCACACACACCAACACAAAAGTACGATTACATGCAATCAGCCGGCCCATTAACACGGCAGTGCGCTTGTCTATTACGTGTTATCTGTCACGATAAGTAACTGTAGTTGTATTCGTTTATGTGTGTGTGTGCGCCGTCAAGTTGCAAGCGCAGCAAGCATGCTGCCGTGTCCGCTGCGTATAAAAGTCGCAACGCTTTGGCTGTCGATTCTCAGTCGTAGTCGACATTTAGGCGTTGAGCATTGTACGCTTAACGGTTAACCGAAGCATTGGTATTCTTGCGGAAGTTCTAACATTTAATTGCAACATTTTGATAAACTTTCAACTTGTTTGTAATAGTCTTTTAAATACTTTAACCTCTTCGTGCGTGGTTTCCAATAAATTTGGTGTGTTTATTGCTGTTGTTGTTTTCGTGAGAAACGCGTAGGTGGAGCGTGCTCCAGCATGTGGCTATTAAAACGGGACATTTAACAACAGCTCGGATTACGTGAAAATTTCGCTTAATTTTTTGTTTTTGTAATGTTGACAACAGTTATTTGTTGTAGTCGCTGGAGAGGCGTAGGCAACAGTTGCAGCCGCGGTATGTTTACATTGTGGCCGTTCAAGTGGACTCTGCTGTTGTTGCTCATGTTTCTCATTAACAAAGGTAAGTACGCGTTGCAGTGTGTGTGTGTGTTGTGTATGCTTTCGTGGTGGTCCGCTTGTCGAGTGTAGATTGTGGCGGCGTTTAAAAAATTGTACGCAAAACGGCGGAAAGTACGGTGTCGAGAAAAAACGCCCAGAAAAAGTTTCGCAACCTTGAGGTGTTGGTAATATGATAGTAATTGCTCAAACATTTTTAATTATTACTTTCTAATAATTTCTCTAACGTACAACAAAGTAAAATTTTAACAGTGTAAATATCCTTTATTTGCTTGTAATTTTGTTGCTCCAAAAATTGCAAATTTCATACTTTTTTTTATTGCTGATTGTCGAGGCATCGTTCAAAATATTTGAACCATTAAAATGTCTTAAATAAACATCTGCTGTAGTGAGCTACTTGTCTTTATACATAGATATAACATATAGACAATATCTGTGGTTTTTGTAGAGGCATATAACTTTTATTCCAAATAAAATACAGAAAAGTGAATGAAATTATCAAATTTTTGGCTTTGGCAAATTTTATGAAATTTAGTATCCGAATAGCGCTCACCACAATGTCTTTGTCTTATGAGAATCGTCATCGTGTTGTTGTAACCATCTTGCTTTTAGACGGTTCATTTTGACGGAGCGTATCAAAAAGTCGAGAATCATTTAGCTTTAGCACCAGACAGTGACTTTCTTATGCAAAGAAAATAGTTTTGAGAGTATTTTCGGGATTGTTCAAATAGGATAGATTTCCGATATTAATCTTCGGTTATATTTTTAACTTTAATCTCGCCTTTTTTAAAGCGAGTGCAGACCGTTGCTAATGTGTTTCATGGCGTAATAGTATTGACTGTTTAAGGCCCATACTATCAACAATCTATATTAGCTTCTAAAATCGCAGGAGTTATGCTTTGCGAGTATTCGATGAATTCTAAAGCTTTTCGTAAACTTACGTAACGCTATTTGCGTCAAAATATCTCCTTCCGCTCCTAGTGGAGATATACAATAATTTAAATTGCTTCGTTCTTCAAATAAATAATGTCGGAGGGACAACTCCTCCTGAAGACTCGATATAAAAATTTTCTGGAACATCCCTTACAAGATACGCTCAAAGAACATAGAGTGCATACAATGAAAGACATGGTTTATTAAGTTTACCACCAGTTCAGTTTTAAATCAAATTCACGGTTCACTCCAAATAAAATAAGTTTACACGAGAGTGTGAATAAATTACTTCTAACAGAAATGTCAAACAAATACGTTTTTTTAATAAAATATTCCATTTGGCGATAAATATAATATGTTTTCATTAGGCTGAATGCCCTGAACAGGGCATAATAAGTCTGTGACGAAGTTTATAACACCCGGAAGGAAACGTCGGAGACCCTATAAAATATATGTATGTATAAATGATCAGCATGACAAGCTGAGTCGATTTAGTCATGTCTGATTGTTTGCATATACGCGAAATAGTTCCTAAGTTTATGAGATATCATTGTGAAATTTTGCACACGCTGTTTTCCTCAAAGAACAACTCATTTGTGAAAGCCGATATTATATCAGACCACTATAGCACATAGCTGTCATACAAGCTAAATGATTAAATTCGTGTTCGTGTATGAAAAACTATTTCATTTGACGAGATAACTTTACGAAATTCGCCATGGATTATTGTCCAATTTGTGAAGGATATTATAGCTTTAATAGTAACCGTTTTTTTCTTGTTTTAATAAATTTTATTTTTAAAACGACATAAATTTAGAAATTATACTTTTTAGTATAGAGAAAAAATCGTTCTAAAGCGTTCAGTTTAATAGTTTCAGTTAGTAATTTTTGTAAGAGCTAAGCTCTTGCTTTCTTTGGCGAAATTGAGCAACACTCGATTTTCTCAACTAAAAATATAACAATATTACAAATACATATATTCTTCTTTATAAGAAAAAAAAATTCATTCCACTTTGTAAAAAAAGTTTTAATAATATAGCCTATAAAAAATTGGAATCGTTCTGTTGAATAGAATAACGCCAATTATTACTTCTCAATTTTTCCCGAACTTTTTTTGAGTACTTGTAAATTATTTTAAAAAACTTCATATATTTATAGACATACTCTATTTACCTATCTTGTGTAAAAAATCTCACAATTTGTATGTATGTCACCTGTTTATGCAAGAGTGAATGTCATTAGCTATTGTAAAAATGCAACTTCAATATACTGTAATTATGCACACGCATATAGTATGTATGAAAACACTTGAGGGGTTTTTATAACTTCATTGATTTGCGCGGTAATTTGCGATTTGATCTAACTTTGATTTGGCAAATTAAGTTCGCTTTTTTGCCACATCGATTATCACCGGCAAACAACTGGAAAAACGTAAGTGAAGTGAGTGGCTTTTAATCGCACACGTAGTTGGTCGTCATTAAAGGTTTTTATGTGATTCGGTGCAATTTTCGCATATTTTAGTATGCATTACCACAAATAGAAATATATGGATTTCAAATAATCGAAATCCAATTGTAATATGATATATAAAGAAGGCAGATTAGCATCTAACAATACATCCTTTCAAATTTTGTTGTAAGTTTTCTCAATGTTAGCAAGTATTTGAAGCTTACTGTTAGCTATTGTGGTTATTTTATGGAATGATTTTGATTTAATTTGATTAAAAAGTGAAACTGCGTCGAGAATTACTTTGCGCGCTTTAAACTTTTAATTTTTTAGCAGTAGAAAAATGTAGGTTTAAGCGGTTGCTCTACTCTCGAGGCCTGAATTTCGGGGATTTTTTGACGCTGAGTATACAAAAAATCTTGATTTTTTATTACTAATTTATTAATATTTAAAAATTTTACAAAAACAAATTTAAGAAAAACTAATATATACATTTTTCTAGTGTTTTGAAAACAATATAAAAAATTCTTCATTTTTGAAAAAAACAAATTAATTTATTTATATGAAAAAAATACAGAAAGGGAAAATGTGGTGGGGAAGCTATCTGAACGACTAATTAATTAAATACATTTTGTTTTGCCTAGTATACACTCTTATTTTTCCCCCAACCTGATTCCACCCTGATATTGCCCTCTGCTTCTCATTCTCATTCTACGAAAAGTTCACCAGAGCAACTCGTTTGATTTATGCAAGTATTACAAGCTGCTGTTAAGTTGCGCATACGCCCCGTTGGCCATTTATTTAAATTGATACTTATTTATTACTTATCAGTCTATTTATAAATACTCACAAAAAATATAACCGTTATTTGTTAAAAATGGGCATTTAAAGGGCAACAAAATAGTGCTACAACAACACTTGTCGGTCTCTAAGGAAATTGCAACCATAATAAACATTGGTAAACCAAATTAAATTTATGCTTTAATCTTTTTTTGCGTTCTTTGAACACTTTTGTATTGCATATACTTATGTGTGAGTGTTAATGATTGGCTGGCAATTTGTAATTTTAATTGTAGATAAACTCTCGATTTTGAGTGGAAGTTAAATTTGTACGCGCATAACGTTGTCACATATGTATGTGCACAGCGACGTTGATAAATATATAAAAATATTAAGGGGCACACCTAGTAAGACAATCTAAACAATTTATTTGTGAGAATTAAAAATAAAACTACTATATCAATTCTTTCAAAACTAAGGGTGTACATATTTTAAGAATACACATTGAACAAATTTTTGAAAATAAAAATTAATAGTTTTTCGACTTACACGCGATCTCCAACGGCGTTAAAAAGGGTCATTCATTGCTGCAGAGATTCTGGCCTTCTCCGCCGATGAAACCTAAAAAATCCAACGTTCAAAAAAAAAAAAATCAAAAATTGACAAAATGGCGGCTTTTAAAAAAAGCTGAATTTTACCCTAAATTTTTGTCGTTTTTTGGCTTGTTAAATTCGATTTCGTATGGAGAACTAGCAAATTTGAAAATTTTAATTTTGAGGTAAAGGCGTTTAAAGATAAACAGTTTGAGCTGCTTAAACTGAGCGGTTATACTTGAGAAGGCTGTAATTTAAAAATATTTGAGATATCGATATTTTAGTATGTTATTTTTAAAGGCATAACCAATTGAAATATGAAAAATTATAAATTTTTTTTAACTTTTAATTTTTTTTACACAAGATGTGCCCCTTTAAAATATAAATTTGCATAGAATGGCTCGCATACATACATACGTATGTAGTTACTTTCGTATTTATTCATTTAAATTGTTTTAATTAAAATTGGCGTGAAGTTATTGGCGAGTAACACATTCACATAAATATTTATTAGGGTGGGGCAAAAAAAAATTATTATTTGTTTTTTCGATTAAGTAAAGCGAATATTTTTTTTACGAGATATTCATCGTAAAACATCAAAGCATATCGTATATATGTATGTACATATCTACTATATATATATCTTTTTATTTTTATTTTAATAATATGTTACCATTTTTGTAAATTTCTTAGAAAACTATGATTATTCCAATTTATAATAATTTTTTTCATTGAGTAATAAAATTCATAAGAAAAAAATGTTGTCTTAAAATAATCAAAGTTTAACCGTTAATATCTCTTAAACGTTTAGGTTTACGAAAAAGTCGTAAAAGATCTTTTTGTAGAGCATTCAATTTCCTAATCTAAAATCTATGAATCGAGTTATTTTTTCAAGTAGTTAAAAGCGAGAAATCAATTTTTCTTCTTATATTAAGAAAAAAATGGAAAACTGTAAGGCCTTTGACCTTCCCGTTACAATTAAGAGCTCATACTTGGAGAGAATTTCTTAGTGTCTCAGGACCTATTGTTTAGATATTTTTTTTAGCCACCCTAATATATGTATGTATATGAGTATATTTTGTTATGCATATTATTATGTATTTATGTATGCGGGTATACTTGTGTATACAGTTCCAAATAAAAATTGTAAAATCATAAAATACATA